CCCAGATAAAGAAAATGCTTGATTTCCGGGGATAAAAAAAAAAAAAAAAAAAAAAAAAACCTAAGGACTGTCAAAATCGTGTGTTAGAGCCCGCACAACTTCGATTAGTCCCTCAGAAACAACTGAATCTCTTCTCCCTTCGAGTCCTTTTGCGGGCCCCCACGTGCTCTCAGCAACACAAATTCACCGCTAGTCTGTAGACAGAACTCCATTACCCATCGACCTCTCGACTTCTACATTTTCGATCTGCCCTACTCCGCCTACTCTTAGCGCTGTTCTCGGCCCGCGCTCCTGCCGGTCAGGCCGTAACTCCCGCCTGACGGCGAATGCCCCCCCCCCAGTCTCCGCCTCTTACGCAAGGCACCGCCTACTCGCTCAGGCCTCCGTGGGGGCGTGGCTCATGCAATGGTGACGCCCATTGGCTGTCGCGTTGCTGGGGGTGTGTGGCTACGGGAGCCGGGCGGGCACGTTAGGAAGCGAGGCTGGGGCGACGGTAGCAGTGAAGGATGCACCCGTCAGGGTTGGCGGCGGCGGGGACGCCCCGGCTGCGTAAGTGGCGTACGTGGCCGGCGGAGGAGATCCGGCGGGTGGGGGCGTGGCGGGGCGGCGGTTGGCGAGGTCACTGCAGGTCGGGGGTCACGAGATCAAGGATCTGGAGCTTCGAGGTGTGCACAGCGTGGGGATGCCAGGTCCGGGTAGGGGTGCGTTTGGGGGTGGATCCTTTAGGAAATTCCTTTAGAGCAAAACAACTGGGGGGCAGGATGTTGTTGTGTGATGTGCAGAGAAACACGACTTTCATTCATTTGCAGTTAGCGATCTCCCCTCGCCTGCTCCCCACCCTTCCAGGGCTCCCCAGTGCCCTCCGGCTGTCGCCCACGCGCCTTAGTACAGCTTTTCTGGCCTTCTGTGAGAGGACAGGGCCATGGTTACCCCTCATTTAAGATTTGAACCTGTATTTAGTATACCTTTCACCCTCTTTTCAAGTCTCTGAAATTATATCACTTTAAATTCTTCATCTCCTTTAAGTGCACTGTGCATTTCATTTATTCATTCAACATAACTTGCCCCATATCTTTGTGCCAGGCCTCATGTTGGAATTTGAATAGCTGGTACAGTAGAAACCAACATAGCCCTGGTTCTTGTTATGTCCCAGCTCAGAGCTTACTGGGAAGAGAGATAGTTAACTAGGAAGCAACCAAGTCAACAAGTTAATTTGGGAGCAGTAAAGACTGTGAAGGGAATAATCCTGGAGGTCACTGGGCATTGGTTGAGGAGGCCTGTCCAGAGATAAGGTATGATGTCCTCTCTTTAGCCATTAACAGTGCCTGGTGGCCCCTGTGGTGGTTGATGCAAGGGATAGAACAGTGCTCAGTCTTTGCTCCTGTTCTCATGGAGCTGCCAGTACAGAGCAGAAGACAAGGACAGTCTAGAGGGATGGTGCTGTGATGAGAGAAGCACAGGCAGAAGGGTTGGGCTGGGATGGAAATGTTGTGGGAGCCCAGAGGAGGCAGGGGACCCAGCATAGGGGTGTCAGTGAAGCTTCCTGGAAAAGGGTACTTCTAATGATGAGGAATTACCCAGAAGAAGGAGATTTGTGGTAAGAAGGAAAGGCCAGGACCCTATGCCAGTTAAACAAGTAGACAAATGAATATACAGGGTGGCCATAAAGTTTGTGTGCAATTTACAATACCCAACTTCTTTAAATTGCACATGAACTTTATGGCCACTGTGTATATTTAGAAATTATGATGAGTACTCAAAAAAGAAAAATAAATCACTGGATATTGGCTTGGCACCTGTGGCTCAGGTGGCTAAGGCACCAGCCACAGACACCTAAGGTGGTGGGTTCGAATCCAGCCCAGGCCCGCCAAATGACAATGATGGCTGCAACCAAAAAATAGCCAGGCATTGTGGCGGGCACCTGTGGTCCCAGCTACTTGAGAGGCGGAGGCAGGTGACTTGCCTGAGCCCAGGAGTTGGAGGTTGCTGTGAGCTGTGAAGCCACAGCACTCTACCCAGGGGAACAGCTTGAGGCTCTGTCTCAAAAACAAACAAACAACAACAACAAAAAATCACTGGATATTATGAGAAAGAACCAGGTGGGGCAAGTGCTCTATATTGAGGAGTGAGAAAGGTTAGGGTTAGGGTTAGGGTTTCTGAGAAGGAAACATTGGAGCTGAGGCCTGCATGTGATATTGGCAGGTACTGATGGAGGGAAGGTGTTCTCAAATGATGGCAGTGCATATTCCAAAGCCTGTGGGGGTAATGACTTTGGCAGGATCAGAGGCCAATGGGAGGCCATGTGACTGGAGTGTGGAGGTCCTAAGAGATGTAGCAAATGGAGGGGATTGGCAGAGCTAGGTCATTCAGAGTGTAGTAGGTATTTGAATTTATTCTGAGCACAGTGGGCACTGATACTAGGCAGAGAATGATGTGGTCTCACTTGCATTTAAAAAGATCACTCGGGGCTGGTGGGGTGGCTCAGGCCTGTGATCCTAACATTCTGGGAGGCCGAGGTGGATATATTGCTTCAGCTCATGAATCACCTGAGCATGAGTGAGACCCCGTCTCTACTAAAAATAGAAAAACTAGCCTGGCATTGTAGTGGATGCCTATAGTCCCAGCTTAGGAGGCTGAGATAGGAGAATCACTTGAGCCCAAGAGTTTGAGGTTGCTGTGAGCTATGATGCTACAGCACTTTACTCAGGGCAACAGAGTGAGATTCTGTCTCAAAAAAAAATTTTTTTTTTTAAGTAAAAGGATTACTCTGGCTACCCATTGGAGAGAAGGTTGATGGGGTTAAGAGTAGACTAGGAACCAGGTAAGACATTTAAGTCAGGTGGGAGATGACAAAGTCTAAGAGGAGAGGGTGCTACTGAGATACTAATGATTGGTTGATTAGATGTCAAGAGATTCAGGGGTTTGGACACCAAACTACGATCCCAGGGGCAACCAGAGGAAATGTCAAAAAGTGGCCAGACCTGGGTCTGGAGCCAGGAGACAAGTAGTGGCTAGAGAAAGCGCCCAGAAACTGAAGGCACGCTGCAGCTGTGAGAGCTGGGATAGGGGTGACGTTGGCCTAGGTGAGAGTCAGAAAATGAGGGCGAGGATGGAAAATGAGGTCAGACATTTTAGGAAGCTGAGAATCGATGTTGAATGAGGGAACCCTTTGAGAGACCATCAGCTTCACAAAGGCAGGAGTTTTATTCATAGCTGTATCCACCATGCCTATAACAAAGCCTAACACACAGGGGAAGTTTTTAGTAGATGTTTGTGGGGTAAACAGGTACATTCAGTATCTTGCATGCAGAGAGCTAGAGGGTGGCATTTGGGGCAGTAGTGCCAAATGCTGCTGAGGGCTTGAGTCAAATAAGATAGAAAAGCCTAGGTCTTGATAGCATAGAGAAGCATTTAGGAGGCCAGATGGGAGCAAAGCCCCAAACGCCAAGGCCTGAGGGGGCAACAGGGAGGCTGAGGAAGGGCTTGCAGGAAAGCTTTCAGGAAGCTGGCTCATCTGGCTAGAAGTGGGAGAGGGAAAGGGATGTGTTGGAGAGGGGGAGGCCTGAAGTGGAGGGGGGAGCGTTGGGGACAAGCCTGGGGCCACTGATGCTTGCTTTGGGATTGGAGAGACCGGGTCTGTTTTCAGGCTACAAATCATTGAGAAAGAGAGTTGGGGCCTTATAACAGCCCTAGAAAGCAGGACTCTCAACCATTCCATGGAGGAGGAAACTGAGATGCAGAGAAAAGTCATGACATGTAGTTTGGTTCCTGTCCCCTGTAACCTTACCACTTGGTCCCTGTGTCTGCAATAGTCCCTGGCACATAGTAGGATCTCTGTGAAGATCTCTGGATCTTATTTGCTGTGTCACAGTGTTGCTGACTCGGAGCAGGGGCCCTGGAGCCAGAGTGCTAGGTTCAAGTCCTGTCTTCCCTATCTTCCCTACCTTAGTAGATGCATTCCATCCAGCCCAGAATCTGGGGAGATAGCATTGGTTCTTCCTGCTTCTTACCACACCCAACTGAGCTTACCTCCCAAGAGTCCCAACCCTCCTCCTCTGAAACTCGTCCATAAATCCCCCTCCCACCCTGCCCCACAGTCCTGTCAGTCCTCTTGCTTTAGCCTCCTGAACAGCTGGGACTACAGGCACCTGCCACAAACTCGGTAAGTTTTTTCTATTTTTAGAAGAGTCAGGGTCTTAACGTTTAACTCAGGCTGGTCTTGAACTCCTGAGCTCAAGCAATCCACCGGCCTCAGTCTCCCAGAGTACTAGGATTACAGGCACGAACCACTGTGCATGGCCAAAATCACCTTTTTTTTTTTTTTTTTCCAGTTTTTGGCTGGGGCTGGGTTTGAACGCACCGCCTCCTCCTCCTTTGAGCCACAGGGACTGCCCCAGAATCACCTTTTAAAAAATTAAAAACTTTTAAAACCTAGCTGTTGATCTTGGGCAAGCATCTGAACTTCTTTGGAGCTCACTCTGTCATGGGAATGATAACACCATTGGCAACACTGGGGTTGTTATGAGGACAGCCTGGTATAGGGAGGAAGTGGTCATCTAGAGTGTAATTACTACAGTATGTCAGACAGACCTGGGCTGTCCTCCTGCCTTCCATTTACTCAGTTTGGCCCTTTGCATAAGTCATTTGGCTGTCTGGGCCTCAGTTTCCACATCTGTGAAATGGGGGTGACTATTCATCAGGTTTTTGTCAAGTGCCTACTCTAGCCCTGTTCTCGGGCTGGGGATTCAGCTGGGAATGAGACAAAGATCCCCACTTTAGCGGGGCTCACAGTTGAGTAGAGGAGACAGCAAACAAATATAATAGTTTGTGTATCAGCTGGTATCGAGCTCAGTGACTATCAGTGAAGTGAGGAAGGGGGATGGTGACTGCTACAGAGAGGTGCAGTTGTAGATGGGATGTTGCGTAAGGTCCCACCGAGCAAAGATCTGGAGGAGGAGAGGAGGGAACCACAGGCATGTCAGGGAAGAGCTTTTTGAGCAGAGGCAGAGCTGGTGCAGAGGTGGGAGCATGCCTGGTGTGTTCGCAGGTTCCTGGAGCAGATGAGCCAGGGGGCCGAGGGAGATATGGACATAGGCTGGGTTCATAAAAGGCTTGGCACAGGATTTTGTGGATAGTAGGCCCCGATATGTACCACTCTCAACATCAACATCATCATCATTATCATTGGTATTTGGATGGATGGATGGATAGACAGACAGATGGGCAGGTGGGTGGGTGGGTGGGTGGCTGGCAGGCAGAGCCTGCACCTGAAAGCCTGTCTGACACCTGCCCTGCCCTGCAGGTGAATGAGGCTCCGCACCCCTCTTCCCTTGCAGCCTCAAAGCGGAGGATCCCTGTGTCCCAGCCAGGCATGGCTGACCCCCACCAGCTTTTCGATGACACAAGCTCAGCCCAGAGCCAGGGCTACGGGGGTCAGCGAGCACCTGGAGGCCTGGGCTACCCCTCAGCCTCCACCTCCCCACAGGCAGCCTTCCTGGATGACCCTGTGTCCAACATGGCTATGGCCTATGGGAGCAGCCTGGCCGCTCAGGGCAAGGAGCTGGTGGATAAGAACGTGAGTGGGTTGGGGTTGGTGGGAGTGGGGGAAGGTGTGGGCCGTGGGCCTCAGGCTTGAGCTCTGCCTCCCCAGATTGACCGCTTCATCCCCGTCACCAAGCTCAAATATTACTTTGCTGTGGACACCATGTATGTGGGCAAAAAGCTGGGCCTGCTCTTCTTCCCCTACCTGCACCAGGTCAGTACCTCCCCCAGGGGAATGTGGGTCTTGGGGAGAGCCAGCCCATTGGGGTTGGACCAGGCCAAGTGTGAGGGGGTAAGCAGGGTGGAAGCAGGGTGGAAGAGGCCTGGCCCTGGAGTCTTGACCACTCCCCCACTCTCCCCACAGGACTGGGAGGTGCAATACCAGCAGGATACACCAGTTGCCCCCCGCTTTGATGTCAATGCTCCGGACCTTTACATTCCAGGTTTCCCCCTACCCTTTGCTGCCCTGGCACCTTCTCCCCTCTGGGTGGGCATGTCTGAGGCCAGGGTTTTGATGTGTGGAAGCCCAAGATGGCCCTTCCTCCTCTGACCAGTGTTTGTCTTCCATAGCTATGGCTTTCATCACCTATGTCTTGGTGGCTGGCCTTGCACTGGGGACCCAGGATAGGTAAGGGAGGCCTGGAACAGGCAGAACAGGGTGGGGTTTGGGGGCCAAGGGGTGGTCAGGGAGGTCTTGGTTCCCCTCTCAGAATAGTTCCACCTTACTCCTAGTTGGCCTAAGATAGCCCTTAGGGTCATCCTCAGAGTTACTCTCAGCATCACCCTTGCCTCTTTGCTCCCTTTCCTACCCACATGCAGCCTGTTACCATGCCCTATGCTGGGTGACCCTCTAAATCCATCCTTCCACCACCAAATCCTTCCTTATCCTCACTTTCTCCCAACTAGCTGGCCCCCACTCCCTGCATCCCTCCTAAAGCAGCAGCCAGGATGGCCTTGTCTGACATGCAGGCCTGGCCACATCCCCACCTTGGTCCCCCAAGTTGTCCATGGCTTCCCAGTCAAGCCTGGGACTCCTTCCCCCTTGCTCCCCAGGTCTTCCTCCATGTCTCCAGGGAGCCCAGTGCTGCCTTCCCAGGCCCGCACGTCCACTTGCCTTTACTCAGGAGTATGTCCCTCCCCGCCATCACCTGCCCAGCACTTGCTCATTCATGATGCCTCTAATCTGATGTCACTTTCCCAGGGAAGATTTCCTGCCACCCCCCAGCCTCACTCATAATACCCTGTTCATTTCCTTTGTGGCACTGAAAACATCTGTCATTAGAACCTGTTAATTAATTAATTGGTGAGGCCTAGATATGGCAGAGGCCAGGGGCCTTCTTCCCTGACCACCTTCTTCCTCCTTGAGGCCTCACCTCAGGTGTCATCTCTTCAGGGAAACCCTCCCTGCTCCCTGCCTCCTGACTGTGCAGCCCCCTGTGGTTCCAGCTGGACCCCCTTTTGGCATCACTGTCTGGGAACACAGCTGCTTTCCTCCTCAGAATGGAATTTCCATGAGGATAGGGCCCAGATCCACTTGGCCACTGCCAGGTCTCCAGCCTGCTCCCAGGCAGATGATCAGGTCTAAGGTTGCCAACTGAGTGACAGCCTGGTTGCCGACAGGTTCTCCCCAGACCTCTTGGGGCTGCAGGCAAGCTCAGCCTTGGCCTGGCTGACACTGGAGGTGCTGGCCATCCTGCTCAGTCTCTACCTGGTCACTGTCAACACCGACCTTACCACCATTGATCTGGTGGCCTTCTTGGGCTACAAATATGTCGGGTGAGTCCCTCCCACCCTGCCTGCCAGCCCCTGCCCTCAGCTTCTCTCTCACTCCAGCCTTCTCTCTCTCCCCCAGGATGATCGGTGGAGTCCTCATGGGCCTGCTCTTTGGAAAGATTGGCTACTACCTGGTGCTGGGTTGGTGCTGTGTGTCCATCTTTGTGTTCATGGTGAGGCTGAGGGTCAGGCCCAGTGGGGAGAGTAGGGGTTCCTGGAGGCACCTGAGTGAGGATGTCAGGTGGGGAGTTTAGACCAGAGCCACACTGCTGAACTGAGAGGGGTTGGGACAGCTGTCGAGAGCTTCCTGGGAGAGGAGAAACAGGCCAGGCTGTGAACGGCTAGGTGTACTCTGCATGTAGGCTCCAAGCTGGGCTCCCACCCTTGCTCCACTCTCCTCTCACTTTGGGCTTTCCTGCCACCACTCCCCTGGAGGGAGATTCTCTGAGAGCTCTTCACTGGAGTGGGGTGCTGGCCAAGAACAGGGTTGACCCTGAGCTTTGTTGGATCCTGAGCAAATCACTTCCTCTCTTTAAACTTCAGTTTCCCCTTTTGTAAAATGGGATGATAATATTTGCTCAGAGGAATTGTCCTAGAAGAGGCCCCAGGACAATTATTCAAGACCTCTTGTCCATGACTTGAAGACCTCACGTCCCAGACCTGGGAAGGCAGCACTGGGCTCCCTGGAGACATGGAGGAAGGACCTGGGGAGCAAGGGGGAAGGAGTCCCAGGCTTGAGGGAAGCCATGGACAAGGGGTCTTGAATAATTGTCATCTGGCCAAGGGAAGAAAGAGGGTGGCAGCAGCTGGAAGGGGCTTATTGCCCCCTCACTCACTGATGGGCCCCTTGCCTCTCATATTTTGCAAACAGGACCTGGGGAGGAGCAAGTCCTGACCATCTGGTTAGGGAAACAGGGGCTCCTAGGAGCAAATACATGAGGGCTGCAGAGGGGCAGGGACTTGTCCCAGGTGGAAGGGCTAAAGGGTCAAGTTCTCTGCTCCTATCTCTCCCTTTCCCACCTAGATCCGGACGCTGCGGCTGAAGATTCTGGCAGAGGCAGCGGCCGAAGGAGTCCCAGTGCGCGGGGCCCGGAACCAGCTGCGCATGTATCTGACCATGGCCGTGGCGGCGGCCCAGCCTCTGCTCATGTATTGGCTCACCTTCCACCTGGTGCGGTGAGGCACCTCCCGCTATCGCCTCACTTTTCTCCGCCCAGGGCCCAGGTCCGCCCAGCCTGGGCCGGCGCCGCCCCCGCCCCAGGCCCTCCCTCCTCCGCCGCGGGGCTGGGAGATCTGCGACTGCTTAGGCGCGGCCTCTGTTACAGAAACAATAAACCCTGATGGGCTCGGCGTAGGCAGCCTGTCCTTGGCCGCGCTGGGCTGGGAAGGGAGCTGGGGACCGGCGGGAGGGGCAGCAATCTCAATAGAGAGACTGCAAGACTTAGGCATTTAATACGGTTTAATGCTCCCAACTCAAGCCCCTCAATGGGGAGCCTTTTTCTTGCCCTTCTCCTCCTTCTTGCCCTTCTCCTCCTTCTTCTTCTTCATCTTGGGCTTCTTGACCTTGCCCGGGGTGCTTTCATGCGGCTTGGAGCCTGCAGCATGGGGCTGTGGGGCCGGCCAGGGCGGCGGGTGGGAGAGAAGAGAGACATTTGGGCCGGAGTGGAGACTGGCAGCCAACCCCCCACTGTGTGTAATGCAGACCTTATCACCTTCTTTGGACCACAAGACACAAGCCTGGGGGGAAGGGAGCCCCTTACCTTCCCCTCGGAGTCAGAGTCGGAGTCACTGGAGCTGCTGCTGGAGTCTGAGGAGCTGCTATGGGCCACCTGTGCAGAGGTGTGCCGGTGAGGGTGTACTCATCCCCTCCCAAGTTGGAAGCCGAGGGCACAACAACCCCTCCAACCCCTAAGGATGTGCCCAATGATGGAGTAACTTACCTTTGGATTCTGAGCTGCCCCTGGGTGGCCCTGAACTTTGGGGGGACTGTGCTTGAGGTTTCCCGCCTGGTCGGGCCCACCAGGCTTCTTGGAAGTGGATTCCAGGGCTGTAGAGAGAAGTTAGGTGGGTGGGCACAGGTGACAAGGAGTGCCCCTTGACAGCAGCCCCCAAGCTTGAGTCTGGCCCCTGCACCTCAAGGCCACCCACTCCCCAGGAGCACACCTGCTGTCAGGTCGAACTCCATGGTGTCTCTGGACAACCTGGAGGACTTGGGCAATGCTGGGAGGGGAGGGGAGGAGCAGGGGGACCTGCCCGCCCAAGGAATGCTAAGCTGCCCCACCAGACCTTTGTCCTGGGTCTTTAGCCCTGACTCACCGCCTCTCCCTGCATCACTCACCTTTGCCTCTGTGGAAAGTGTAAGAGGTGGACATTGCCTGCCTCACCCCAGCCTTGATGAACAAGGGGGCCCTGTGGATGGTGTTTGGGGAAAAAGAGCTACAGCTGTCATCAGCTTCCCCTCAAATGTCAGGTGCTCATTCATGAAGAAATGTGAGGGAGGGGTGCCACCCCATGCCCTCCTATGCTGTGTAACACTCTGCAGTAACACTCTGTGTGCACTTAGACCATGCCAGGCCCTAATCCAAGGGCTGCAGGCTTTGTAACTCACCCTCATATCACCTCTGTGGCAGGGTGAGAAGCAGTATCTGCACAGCTTAAGAGCATAGACTTTGGGCTAGCCTGCTACATTTGATGCTTAATTGTGTCATTAGCATCTGTGTGACATTGGAAAAGTGGCTTCCCTTCTCTGTGCCTCAGTTTCCTCATCTGTAAATGACAGTTGCCCCATGGGGTTGATGTGAGAGTCCAATGGGTTAATTGACACAGGGTGAGTGTTTATAAAGTAATGTGTTTGAGCCAGGCACAGTGGCTCATGCCTATAATCCTACCACTTGGGAGGCTGAGGAGGGTGGATTGCCTGAGATCACAGGTTCAAGACCAGCCTGAGCCAGAGTAAGACCTCTAAAAATAGTCAGGCATTGTGGTGGACACCTGTAGTCCCAGCTACTGGAGGCTAAGCCAAGAGAATTGCTTGAGCCCAAGAGTTTGAGGTTGCTGTAAGCTGTGACGCTACAGCACTTTACTAAAAGGTGACAAAGTGAGACTTTGCCTCCCCCCCCAAAAAAAAACGTTCACCTGAGCCATCTGCTCTGATCTCTGGGCAGCTAAGTGTCCTTGAGCCACCCTTTCCAGCCCCGCCCTGACACCAGCAGCTGTTTTTCAGGTTGCTTATTCTTGTAGTGAGTGGGTGTTTCAGCTGAGGCAGGTGGCTGAGGCCTGGGGATGATAAGGAACATGCCATTGACACACTCAAACACCTGCTGCCTGCAACCGGAGCTCCACCACACCACCCCCTTTGTCCTGCTTTTATTTTATTTTTTGAGACATAGTCTCACTCTGTTTCCCTGCATAGACTGCTGTGCTGTCACAGCTCACAGCAACCTCAGACTCTTGGGCTCAAGCTGGGACTACAGGTGCCCGCTACAAGGCCTGGCTAGTTTTTCCATTTTTAGTAGAGACAAAGTCTCACTCTTGCTAAGGCTGATCTTTAACTCCTGAGCTCAAACGTTTCACCCCCTCCTTGATCTCCAGGGTGCTGGTATTACAGGTGTGAGCTGCTGTGCCCAGCCTCCCTTTGTCCTGCCTACTGTCAGGTATAGGCCATGCCTGCCACTTTCTGCAGTTATGCTTACTCCTATTTGTTCCTTCACATGTGTTGTTGAGGACCTGCTGTTTTTTTGTTTGTTTGTTTGTTTGTTTTGTTTTTTTTTGAGACAGAGCCTCAAGCTGTCCCCCTGGGTAGAGTGCGGTGGCATTACAGCTCACAGCAACCTCCAACTCCTGGGCTCAAGCAAGCCTCCTGCCTCCGCCTCCCAAGTAGCTGGGACCACAGGTGCCCGCCACAACACCCGGCTATTTTTTGGTTGCAGCCGTCATTGTTGTTTTGGCGGGTCTGGGCTGGGGATTCGAACCCGCCACCTTAGGTGTACGTGGCTGGCGCCTTAGCCAGTTGAGCTATAGGCGCCGAGCTGAGGACCTGCTGTTAATCCAACACAGCTTAACGCTAGGGGCACAGAAGTGAACAAAATCAGCAAAAATTCCAGCCTCATGAAATTGACATTCTAGTGGAGGAAACAGAATAAATTGTATATGGCCTAACTAACCTCAGCAAGAGCGAGACCCTGTCTATACTAAAAATAAGATTTGTGTTTCTTTATTTTACTTTTTATTTATTTATCTAGAGACAGAGTCTCACTATGTCACCCTGGGTAGAGTGCTGTGTTGTCATAGCTCACAGCAACCTCAAACTCTTGGGCATAAGTGATTCTCTTGCCTCAGCCGCCCAAGTAGCTGGGCCTACAGGCACCCCACCCGCCACCATGGCTGGCTATTTTTTAGAAATAGGGTCTTACTCTGGCTCAGGCTGGCCTCAAACTCGTGAGCTCAGGCAATCCACCTGCCTCAGCCTCCCAAATGCTGGGATTACAGGTGTGAGCCACCGCACCGGGCTACTAAAAATAGAAAACTAGAGGGTGGCACCATGTACCAGAGGTGGTGGATTCAAATCCAGCACTGACCAAAAACTACTACAACAACAAAATAGAAAAACTAGCTGGGCATTATGGCAGGCACCTGTAGTCCCAGCTACTTGGGAGGCTGAGGCAAGAGGATCACTTGAGCCTAAGAGTTTGAAGTTGCTTGTGAGCTATAATGCTAGGGCAACAGAGTGAGACTCTGTCTCAAATAAAGTAATTAAATTTAATTTAATAAAAATAAAATGTATGTATGTTAGAAAAAAGGAGAAGGGGTAGTGCCTGTGGTTCAAAGGAGTAGGATGCCAGCCCCATATGCCAGAGGTGGCGGGTTCAAACCCAGCCCCAGCCAAAAACAAAAACTGCAAAAAAAAAAAAGGAGAAGCAAACTAAATGTACATCAACTAATGAGTAGATACTCAAAATGTATATATTAATAGTATATCTATACAATTGAATACTATTTAGCAATATCAAGAAACAAGTTACTAAAAAAAAAAATAAAAAGGCTCTGCGCCTGTGGCTCAAGCGGCTAAAGCGCCAGCCACATACACCTAAGGTGGTGGGTTCAAATCCAGCCCGGCCCGCCAAACAACGACAGCTGCAACCAAAAAATAGCCGGGCGTTGTGGTGGGCGCCTGTGGTCCCAGCTACTTGGGAGGCTGAGGCAGGAGACTCGCTTGAGCCCAGGAGTTGGAGGTTGCTGTGAGCTGTGATGCTACAGCACTCTACCCAGGGGGAAAGCTTGAGGCTCTGTCTCAAAAAAAAGAAACAAGTTCCTGAAACACGTTACATCACAGAAGAATTTCAGAAAGATTATGCTGGGTGGAAGAAGCAGGGGGCAGTGTATTTATCGTATGATACCATTTATATGAAATGATTATAAAAGGCAATTATATTGGCCAAGCACAGTAGATCACACCTGTAATCCTAGCACTCTGGGAAGCCAGGGCAGGAGGATCGCTTGAGCTCAGAAGTTTGAGACCAGCCTGAGCAAAAGCAAGACCCTGTCTCTACTAAAAATAGAAAAATTAACAGGGCATCATGATGGGCGCCTGTAATCCCAGCTACTTGGGATGCTGAAGCAGGATTGCTTGAGCCCAGGAGTTTGAGGTTGCTGTAAATTAGGCTGAGGCCACAGCTCTCTAGACCGGGACAACAGAGCCAGACTCTGTCTCAGAAAAAAAAGAAAAGAAAAAGGCAATTATATAGGTAGAGGTTGCTGGGAGTTAAGGGTGGGAACAGGAATTAACTGTAAATAGGCATGAAGGACCTTACTGAGGGAAAGAAAATGTTCTAGAATTGATTTATGGTGACAATTGCACCACTTGGCAAAGCTGAAGAGAGGAGTGTGGATATAGTAAATCAAAGGTCTTTGGTCAGGTGCAGTGGCTTATGCCTATAATCCTAGCACTCTGGGAGGCTGAGGAGAGTGGATTTACCTGAGCTCAGGAGTTCGAGACCAGCCTAACTAAGAAGTAAGAGGGAGCCCTTATCTCTAAAATAATAGAAAATCTAGCCTAGTGTTGTGCTGGGCGCCTGTAGTCCCAGATACTCCAGAGGCTGAGGCAAGAGGATTGCTTGAGCCCAAGAGTTTGAGGTTGCTGTGAGCTATGATGCTATAGCACTCTACCCAGGGTGACAGAGTAAGGCTCTCTGGAAAAAAAAGAAAGATCCTTATTTTTTTAGAGACAGAGTCTCACTTTATTGCTCTCAGTAGGGTGCTATGATGTCACAGCTCACAGCAATCATCTTAGGCAATTCTCTTGCCTCAGCCTCCTGAGTCGCTTGGACTACAGGCGCAGGCCACAATGCTTGGCTATTTTCTAGTTGCAGTTTGGCCAGGGCCAGGTTTGAACCTACCACCCTCAGTATAAGGAGCCGGCACCCCACTCACTGAGCCACAGGTACCACTGGTCTTGCTATGTTATTCAGGCAGGTCTTGAACTCCTAGTTTCAAGTTGTCCTCCCACCTTAGCCTCCCAAAGTGTGGGAATTACAGGCATGAGCCACCACACCTAGCTCACCTAGCTGGATCCCCATGTTTTGTTTTGTTTTGTTTTGTTTGAGACAGAGTCTCACTATGTCACCCTCAGTAGAGTGCTATGGCATCACAACTCACAGCAGCCTCCCAAGTAGCTGGTGCCTGTCACAATGCCCAGCTATTTTTTGGTTGTAGATGTCGTTGTTTGGCAGGCCTGGGCTGGGTTCAAGCTGAGCTACGGGCTCTGAGTCTGGATCCCCATGTTTTATGTGAGACAACATAAACTGCACCTGAAAAAGGTGCAGTTTCTTGCCCAAAGACAGTGGGGCAGTAAGACATGGAGCAACAGTGTGACCTTCCAGGGCCTGAAGGTGTAATTAGTTCTTCATGCCCACATTAAAGTTGCGGGGTGGATGAATAGTCACAGGGAGACCTGGCCTAGTCCTCCAGACTCCCATCCATTCATTCTGTATTATATTTAGGATGCGGTCTGACAGCTTTTAGAGACCCAAGAGGCTCAACAAGATAGTGTCACCTTTTTTTTTTTGGAAAGTCTTACTTTGTTACCCTCAGTAGTGTGCGGTAGCATCATAGCTCACAGTAACCTCAAACTCTTGGGCTCAAACAATTCTCTTGCTTCAGCCTCCTGAGTAGCTTGGATTACTGGCA